TGAAACTATATCCATCAAAAACTGATGCTATAATACTAGTATCCACATGCAGTAAAACCCGTTAGAAAACTTTGAATGCGTTTAGAAGTAAAGAAAAATATGAGGAAGTACCAAGAAGAATCAAGAACTATGAGCATAAACCAAATCGAACGAGAACGTACCATCAAGTACAAAAGCACGTTTAATCCTTCTTGCTCTCAATAATAGGAAATCGTTTTCGCCAACCGAAGAAACGCAGATTCTGAGAAACTGCAGCTACTTATTGACAGCTTGTATGGTTCATTTCCAAGCACCATTACCATGCGAAAAACGATTTCCTTCCTCACGCAAAATCGATGCGACTCCCTGTTTTGTCTTTTTCATTCCTCCTTGCTAGTCAGCTGAAAGTGTTGAGCCAGAAAATCACATTCATACAGTCTAAAATTGTCAGAAGACATCACTCTCATTACTGCGATCACCATAAATAACCTCCTCTGTTTGGCTCTGGAAACCAACCATCTAACCTGAGCTGCGCTGTCAAAGCAACTGTCCTCCGGTGCTATCGGTTATGCCGCAACACTCACCACGAGCTAGACACAATTACTCAGTACAGGCTCACGACACATATCCAGTAAAAATGTCTCGAAGAGTACCCATTGCTGGATTACTTCCACTCTCCTGTCAACATACGCCCAATGTGGTGCCCTCAAATTCCCCGAAACAGTTCTTTACAGTAGTAATTGAGCAGCTAGCAGTTCCCCTTCCCATTTAGTATAAATTGATTATCTTAGGGGATCCAATAGTACCGATTGAGGGTCCCAGGCTGATGCGCAATAATATTTCAGAACTCAAGGTATTCCACTATGGTAGGACTTCAGGAGCCACGAGTACCCTAACAGTGGCACTTGAGAATCCAAGGGTACCCTTCTATAGTAGGACTTGAGAACCCACAAGAACCTCTCCTTCCGAATACTATGACTTGAGGAGCTGAGGTTACTCCCAACAGTAGGACTTGAGGGCCCAACGGTACCCCTGAATAATGGGACTCGAGGACTCAGGCTACCCCCGAATAATAGGAATTAAGGACCCAAGCGTACCCTCGAATAATCGGACTTGAGGAACAAAGGCAATGAGTTTGGTGAAAAGAGACACATACCTGACTATTACTCCTATTCCCGCGTAATTGGTAACGTAACGGTAACTTCCCACTCATAGTTGGAGATTCTTCATAAAAAAAAATTACTTGTTATTTTTTTGTTATTTATAACAAATAACAAAAAAAGACTTTGTTATTAATAACAATAACAATACATTCACATCTCTAATACAGGAATCTAAACCCGAACCCGAACCCTAAGACCGAACTCGAACCATCCGGTCCGAACTCCGAACTCGAGTTCGAGTTCGATGCATGCCTATATATATAGATAGATAGATATCATTGAGTCTTTCTACATCTTAAAGAAAAGGCTTCTACTTCAGTATAAAAGATTAACTCTACATTCTTTCGTATAACAGTGGTTAAATCGAAAAAGAATAAAGTTATAGTGCCTATATGCCTATCGCATTTCACTCTACTTTAATACAGTATAATCGTTTCTTTTACTTTTCAATACTGTCTTCTTGTGTAGTCCGCCCATGAATGTTGAATGTGTTGTTCTTTATGAAACGAACAACAATAACCCGTTTACTATCTGTACAGTAGATTTAGTTAATGCATCGTATTTTTATATACCTGATAGTTCTATTGGATGATTTTTTTTTCTACTTCTAAATATCTTCAACGAACTCTTTTTGAATAATTTCACTTATTCATTAAAAAAAACAAATAATTTTTTTTATAGATGGCGCCACGATTCTGCTTGATTAAAT